CATGACTGCCATGAAGACTGGGGCAGAGGGGCGAGGTCACGTGCTCAGGACACCGAGGCAAATCCGGGGTGGGGACCAGGCGATCCTGCTCCAGAGCCCAAGTGTCCAGCAAGCCCCAGAGGCGCAGACGTATTTCACACTTAAGTCTTTATGTCTTGGTGGCCCCGGCAGGCGGCGCGAGCGCACGCGCTTTCCCCGAGTGCCCATCAGGGGGCGCGCGGAGCCCACGCGCCAGCACCCACCACGGCGGCGTCGCCTCTCCATCGCCCCTGGCGGCGCTGCTGCGGACCGCAGTGACGACCTGGGGCCAGCTGACAGGTGGCCCGGCAGTCAGACACTGACCCGGTGCCAGGTGTTGGCTCCTCGCCAGGTGCCCCGCAGTCTAGTGGCCTCGCTCAGGCCCTGTGTTCTCCCCCTGCCCCTCACCTCCCCGGTGCGACGCGAAGATGCGGCGCGGCTGCTCCTGTGCAGAGCCTGGCTCTTTGCAAAGCTCTTCCTCTTCCAGACAGCGGCAGCAGGCCTGGGTCTCTCCGCCTCCGCCTCCACTATCGCGTCCTGAGGCGGCGGGAGACCCCCTACGAAGAGGCGGCAAAAGGATCGGAGAGAGTGGGTACCACCCGGAGAGGCCCTCAGAGCCAGACCCTAGCCAGGGGCTGCTGGATCGCACCCAGCCTCTTCCAGACTGCCTGCCGTCTCTGCCCTTGCCCAGCGACATCACCCCCTCCCCGCCCCCGCCTGGCCTTCCCACTGCTGCCGGACCTTTCTGCCGCTTACTGCCCAAGACGCACCTGGCCCTGCTTAGAACTCCTAGCAGGACGCGGTGGACAAACTGAGCATTGACAATCTTCGGAGGCTGAGGCAGGAGGATCAGCATGAGTTGGAAAGCAGCCTGGGTAGCGAGTTCAAGGCCAGCCTGGACTACACAATGAGAGCCTGTCTCCAAAAAAAGCCTTATAATCAAAACAAAAACAAACACCTTAATCACAGAATAAATCCACAAACCAGTCAGTGGACCCACGAAGCCCTGTGCCACCCAACCCTGCACTGCCCACACCTCTGGTGGCCTGTGTCCGCCCAATGTCCTCACACTGAGCCTTCTTCTCTTCTTTGAGGCACCAAGGCGTCCTGGGCTCAGGGCCCCGAACCTGCCAGTCCCTGTGCCCGGCCCCTCCCGGCACCCAGGCCTCCTCCTCCTGCCTGCTCCTGCTCCCTCGGATCCGGCTGTTCCCGCTCCGCACCACCTGGCAACCTGCACACCTCCGGCGTCTGTGCTCGGCTGGCTCATCTCTGCCTCCCTCATGATGCCAATTCTCCGAGGGTCTCAGGACTCAGACTCCTGGTTCGCAGCTCACCCCACACCCAGCCCAGGGCCGGACATAAAAGCCAGCGCCTGATCACTATTTGGGGAACAGATGAGCCTTTCATCTGGTCCACCTCAGAGCCTTCTCCGGCTTCTTTCATTGAGGGCCTGTGCTGGAAGCCTCCCCCACCCCACCCCACCCCTGAGGTCCCCACAGCCCTCCTCTGCACTCGCAGCTCGCTGCTGAGCCCCTGGTCTGCTTTACGGTTTCCCTGTGAGGGACCCCCGCAGAGAGGACCTTGACACTAGACCTGCAAACCGCCATAGGAGGGGCAATCTGCAATAATGTCCACTCTCGAGATGTCCAGCGTGCCCAATGTCAGCTGTGGCCACATGCAATAGGTCCTGTGGTCCGTCTTCTGCACTGGGGGCAGGCAGAGGAACCAAGCCCCAGGGTCACTCTTCTGTCCCTCCCTTGTCAGGGAGCTGTCCCCAGTGTGTGGCCAAGTCCCTCCTTCCTTTTTTTTTTTTTTTTTTTTTATTTATTTGAGAGAGAGAGAGAGAGAGAGAGAGAGAGAGAGAGAGAGAGAGAGAGAGACAGAGAGAGAGAGGCCAGCTCAGCCCACCAGGGGGCGGGGCTGGCTGGCATGTGGTGCTGGGGGATTGAACCGCGGTCCCTGATGCTTTGCTAAGCTTGCTCTAAGTAGGTGCTCTAGACCACTGAGCCATCTCTTCAGCCCCAAGTCCCTCCTTCCTGACACTGCCCATGTGCGAGTTTTTTAGTGTGGCCCAGGGGCCCCTTGCATCCGCAGCCCTCAGCCTGTGTGCTCTGGATCTTGAGGGGTTCCCTCCCTCTGCCCTTCCCCTCTCTTGGAGAAACAGTGCAGACTCAGGGGTGCTGCCCCTGCCTCCCTCTGCGCAGGCCCCAGTGGGCCATGCGGCCACTGCCAATGCCAGGCCCCATGTGGTCTCCGCCCTAGTGGATTCCCTCACTTTCTGGCTCCCTCTGGGCTCACTTCTTCCTGGTGAATTCTCCAAAAGCTTCTTCTTGTTTCTGTTGAGATGGGCTCTTCCAGTGTAGTTCCGGCTGGTCTTGAACTAACGGAGATCCTTCTGCCTCAGCCTCCCAAGGGCTGAGATTAGAGGTGTGAGCCACCATACCTGGCTCCAAAAGCTTTCTAAAGGCAAATCTGACTATGACTACAATCACCAGCCTTCTAAAAACCTTTCAAAGGTTCCCAGCCAGGCATGTGAAGCACACCTGTCACCCTAGTACTCAAGAGGCTGAGGCAGGAGGATTTCTGTGAATTTGAGGCCAGCCTGAGCTGCATAGCAACACCCTGTCTCAACCTGCCCCCCCAAACAACAATACCTTGCAGAGGTTCCCATAGACAAGGGTCCAAACCACAGCCTTTCCATTGAGGGTCCCTGCTCCCCTCCTCCCCTGGGCTCCAAAAATAGCAAGCAATGCCCACTTCCTGCCTCCACACCTGTGCCCATGTGGTGCCTGGCGGACTCCTCCACTGCGTATCAGCTCCCCCTGGAAGTCACTCCTGTCCTTCCCAAAACCTCTTCCTCGTGTCCAAAATGCCTGGACAAGGGTCTGCGCATCCCCACCCTGGTCAACTGTGAGCACCGATTTTCAAGTCCGCTTGCAGCAGCCATAGCGGCAGGGATGGTGCCCCACTCATCTCTGTTCCAGGCCCTTTCCTGGCACCCAGTGCTAAGGACTGGCTCAGCCAGTGGTTGATGGATGGAGGCAGAGCTGGAGCCCTGAGGAAGTGAGAGCCAGGATGACCAAGGGAGCGAGGGCGAGCCTGGCAGGAGGGGCAGCCGAGCAGTGTGTGGGAAGCGGCAAAGCAGGCCGCGTGGCCGCGCTCCTCCAGCTGCCCTCCGTCTGTACATTCGTCTCCTCTAGCTCTTGCAGCAACACATCAGGAAACTGGCATCAGAGAACCGGAGTAACCTACCCAAGGTCACACAGCAGGGCAGGGCTGAGAGCTGTGCTCTGCTGGGCCAAGCTGCGCTGCGGGCGACGGGGCCTGCTGGAAGGCACAGGAGTGGGCCCCACCGCCTCTGCCCAGTGAGTGCCACAACCAGCTGCCCACTCAGGCAGCAGTGCCTTCCTCCCAGCCGGACTGGAGGCTCTGAGGCCAGATAGCTGTTTACCTGTTCCTTCCTCGCCTGGCTTTGGGGGTCTTTTGTGGGATGCACTGGCCCCCTCACGGCGCCAGCCCCCTCACCCTGCCATCCACGGGAAGAGCCCCTTCGGCCTCGGGAGCCCGGGGGCCGGGCCGCTGCGAGCTGCAGCCTGCCTGCCTCCCTCCTCGCGCTTGGCCCAGGCTGGCACTGGGGCTCATCTGCATTCCCCACGCACCGGCCTGGCAGATGGTGGGGGAGGAGGCTGGTGCGAGCCGGGGGTTGTGGTCACGCACCAAGCGGACCTGGGAGGGCCACAGGGCACTGCCCCCCAGAAAGGGCCAACTCCAAGGGCCTGGTGCCTCTTATCCCTGCAGCCTCTGAGGGGACTAGGGCTTGACCTTTATTTTTTAAAGACCGCAAGGGCCTTGAATGCCATGCAAGGCCTGGAGGGACAGAGGGCAGGCGCCTGCCTCTGGAAACCCAGGTCTTGTTCTCCCTGGTGCTGGAGGGTTGCAGAGACCACACACACCCTGAGACCCCACTGGGGAGGGGGAGGAGGTGCCACAGCAAGGGTGAGTAGTTGCAGAATAAAGGGACTGCATCCGGGAAGGCCTTGCCCACCCCTCTTCCCAACTTGTCAGCTCACCGCTGGCCCTGAGCCTTTCCAGCAGCACAAGACCCAGTACAGGGCTCAGAGACTGGACTAAGGTCGTAAAGGGCGAAGGCTAGTAGACCCTTGGGCCAACACAGAAGCAGGTCTTAGCTGATATCCGCTGCAGTAAGGAACATGTCCTTAGGCTCCTATAATGGGTTTAGAAAAGAATTCTCCCTCCAAATTCCAGGACTCCTGCTTTGGGAGTAGGGCCGCGGATAACCGATGTCAGCCACCGGGAAACAGGCGCCCTGCCAGAGCGCGGGACACAGCGGCCCAGTGCCTGGGCGACCCTCACCCATCGCAGTCACCACGCCCCCTTGGCTGGGGATCCAGCGCCAGGTCCCCAGGCTGCTGGCTGGCAGGCGAGGAGTTAACTCCGGAGGTACCGGCTGGGCTCACCGTACCTGCCGCCGCCGCCGCCGCCGCCGCCAGTGGGAGGGACGAGGAAGCGGAGCCGCCCGGCGCCGGAGCGCTCAGTCC